TGCCTCTGCCTCTGCCTCTGCCTCTGCCTTGGTCCCCGGCCCGGCGAGCCAAGCCCCCGCCGGCCTCCGCGTCAACGTGGTGCTGGGCGGCTTGCTGGAAAAATGGTTCCCGGCCGAGAACAGAGCGCGCCGGCTGTGCGCCGAGGGGGATGCCTTGCGGGAGAAGCAGGATCTGGCGGCCGCTGTGGAGAAGTACAGCCAGGCCCTTGAACTCGGTGAGTGCCCGCTTGCCTCGCCCCCACTCGCCTTGCCCTCGCCCCGCTGGTTCCCCTTTGTTGCCGGTACAGAGCCAGTTTTAGGAAAGACGTTTAAACCTCAGTCCTGTAAGGCTGTAACAGTCATAAGCCGACTTGTTTGGCTCGCGAAGAACGGAAGAGGGGGTAGTGAAAAAATAGGCCGAGTTGGATGACGGTGGCACGTTTGCTCTTAGCTAGGAAACAGGTTAGTGGGGGAGGAAGTCCTGCGTAATCAGTCTTCCAGAGGGAGCCGGTCTATCTTGCTCGGCAGTAGCCCTGCCTTGGGTAGGTAAAAGGCATACAGCACACCTCCAGGGTGTTAACCCAGTGCCCCATTATTCTGTTTTGCGAGTCTGATGTTTGATGTTTGTTTCAGACATAACCACTTCCTGGAACTGTTCAATATGTTTGGGTATTCTGTGCGCCTCAATGTGTGTTAACCTACTGTAATGACTTCTAAAAGAAAACACAAACTTAGTTTAGTTTAGATCATTCTTCCTGCCAGACAGGCTGGTGGGGATCCCTTGTGTGATGAATTGCATTAAAGGGAAAGCATCAGATAAATAGGTTTCTACTACAGTCATGCTTAGATGTGTGACACTTCAGAATCTTAGATCTGAAAATGTAACATGAGAAGTTGATTCATTCCATCACATTTCACAATTCAGTGGCATTGGCAGAATTGTTGCTAAAAATTTGAAGAGGAGATGACGTTGGAGGGGTTAATGTGATTCTTCAATTATATTTGCTGAATCTCATCCCAGCCAGGACAAACTTATTTGCATTTCTTCTATATGCTACATCACAAAAACAGCCAGAGAGTTTCCTAGGTATGCAAACAACTCTCTTTAATCTGACAACTGCAATTCTAAAATGCCTCATTGTTAAATATAGTGTAAGAAATTTGCTGCTCAAAAGCAGACATGAACTTGTCTGCTATTTATGCTGAAAATCTTTGGGAGCTGTTATATCTTTTGGTGTGAATGGCAGCAAGATATTCTGTATTTGATGTGGGAATTAGATGTGACTTAATAAGAAAGAATTCTAGTGGCTATTTGTCTATTACATAAGATAAAACATAATTTTAGTACTGTTGAGAAGATGCTTAGTGAAACACAGCACTGTGGAAAGTTAGGATACAGGCAGTCCCCAGTTTAAGAACGAGTTCTGTTCCCAAGGTCTGTCCTTAAGTCAAATTTGTATGT